AAAAAAAAAAAAAAAAAAAGAATCAGCTGAGCAAGCTGAGTTAAGATCCCCATCTCCTAAGGTTAGGTGAGGTCGAAGGATGAAATCCTAATTAGACAGGGCTGTGACATTTTAGAATGAGGGAGGGAGATCTGTCAGTGAGCGCACCACAAGTCCACCTGTATGCAGGAGGCGGGTCCTCACCAGAACCTGACTCTCTGACCCCCTGGTCTTACACGTGCAGCCTCTATAATGCTGAGAAATAAATTTCTGCCATTTAAACCAGCATTTGGTTACGGCAGTCTGAGCAAGTGAAGACACACGAATCCCAGGGACACAGACAGCCCTCGGCAACCAGAGCGACAGCGTGTGTTCACTGACTCAGGACCTGAGCGCAGCGCGCCAATTCCCTTACTCAGAAAACAGACTGATCCTGGGTGCACGGGGAGCCTCGGGTGGGGAGCGCTGGTCTTCGGACCGGTGGCTCACTCCCGGCCTCGTAGTTCCCCGGAAGGAGGGCTTCCAGCGCACAGAGAGCCACGGGCGGGGAGCGCCGGTCTTCCGGCTGGCTAGCTTCCTGCCTCGTAGGCCCCCAGAGGGAGGACCCCCAGTGGCCGAGAGCCCTTGGGCCGGCCCCCAGCCTAACAGGCACCTGGGAGAAGGGGTTCTGGTGCAGAGGAAGCCACATGGCGGTGAGCGCTGTTGCTCGCCAGCCCTCAGGCCGGCCACTGCTGCTTCGTTGAGAACTACCATGACACAGAGAAACATTGACACAATTGGCCCACCATGCACCAGCTGCAGATGCCCACCCACAGACGTGTCTTAATCATTCAAACATGGAGAAACCCCATGTTTATTGCAGCGTAATTCACAGTAGCTGAGACATGGAACTGGCCTAGGTGCCATCCTCACACACAATATGGTACGTACACATAGTGAAATATTGTTCAGCCGTAAGAAGGAAAAACTGTGTCACGTTCAGGAAAATGGGTGGAACTGAAGATCATGTTCAGTGCAATAAGCCAGACTCAGAAACGCATGTATTGCATGTTCTCCCTAATATGTGTGGGTGTGGAGGGTGTCCTGAAAGCAGAAGACACGCAAGTATTACCCAAGAGGAAGTCGGTAATGAGGAGGGGGAGACACGCAAGGGAGGGCAGTGAGATGGGGACGATCCAAATGCGTTAGATGCACATATGAAAATGCCACCCTGAAGCCCAATAGTTTGTAAAATTAATAGGCATTAATAAAATTTTTTAAAAGTCCCCGTTCAAAATTCTCCCAGTCTCTGTGGTTGGGACTCTGTTGAAATGAACCCTCAACTCCAGAAAAAGACACATGACTCAGGCCTGCCCAGTGAGGGCGTCCTGTTCCCAGAACACAGTGATTCTTTAGGAGTGGCTGGGGCCCCGCTTTGCTGTATGATTCCAGTTGCAATTAAAACCAGCCCAGTGGAAAATGAAGCCAAGAAATAAAGATTAAATTCTGAAAGAGTATTTTATTTTATTTTATTTTATTTATTTGGTACCGGGAATTAAACTCACAAACTCGTGCTTGCCAGGCAGGCGCTGCGCCCCTGAGCTATATCCTTGGCCCTTGAAAGAGTATTTTAATATAAGAGAATTTCTCTTTCATTTAAATTACTTTGACTTGGATTTTGGTCTCTAGCAACAGAGTCCCAACACAGTTACTTTGTAGCCTGGGTGTACTGACCTGGGGAAGGATCCGACAGCCCTTCTAATGTATCCTTGGTGAGTGACTTCCGGGAACGCGAGGGTACCATAAAGAGGAAGCAGTGTGACACGCAGCCCATATGCAGCATGATCCTCGCCCTGTTTAAGCATTTCATCAACACAAAGATTGGAGGAAAATACAAAATACTAGCAGCCATGCAGCTAGCAAGATTATGAACTGGAAATTGTTATTTTCCTTATTTTCAACACATACATATATGCATATTTGTATATCTTACAATTGGAAGAAAAAAACAAAGTATTGAGGATTGATTCAGGTCTCCTTTAATTTCAAAAAAGGCTTCAGTTATAATCCAAGATGGAAACATACAGCCACCCGGTCTGAGTGTGAGTCTTGTGTGACACTGACCAGCCAGCACTGCACAGGGGGGCATGACTTCCTCTGCACTAACACTGAGAAGCTCGCCCCTTCATAAAATAGTGGTCTCTTGCCAGGCGTGGTGGCGCACGCCTGTAATCCCAGCACTTGGGAGGCTGAGGCTGGCGGATCGTTCTGAGTTCGAGACCAGCCTGGGCTACAAAGTGAGCTCAAGGCCAGCCTGAACTGCACAGCGAGACCCTGTTTCAAAAAGACAAAAATAAAATAAAATAAAATAGTAGTCTCCTTAATGACTGTGATCATCGCTCTGAGTGCTTCTAAGAGGGGGAACAGGGCATTTGCAACCCCCCAGTGAGCATTTGTGCATTTATCTCATTGGCCCTTGCCTCATTTCATAATGGATTTTTCTCCAACCTGCTGCATACCGGAAGGACTTCCAACCTGGACCAGAAGACACAATACACTAAAGTTCAGCAATGACCGCTGGCCCTGAGCAGCAGAGCAGATGGATGGCCAAGGCAAAATGCCAAAGGGGGCCTCTAGGCCCTGAAGCTTCAGGTACCTCTTCAGTCACTGCTTCTTTCTCCGTTGATGTGTTTGTAACCAGGGCCCCTCCCTGGGCCACAGCCCTCTCTCACCCCGTCTCACCCTGTTCAGACCAGGGCTCTGTCCCTCCTCTGCAGCAGGTGGGGCATAGGACCTCGAGCCTGTTGGGAAGCCCAGCGTGGAGGTAGAGAGAGAGAAACCCACGAAAACTACCAGCAACAGCAGACCAGGCCTCTGCCTCTCCTCTTGCCCCTGCTGAGCTCCCTGTACTCCAGTGTCACCATCAACGCTGCCCTCCCCTCGCCCTGCCCAGGGTGTCATTCTTAGGAAAGCGATCAGCCAGACTGCACAGGAAACCACATCGGCACAAAAAGGGGTCTCCACTGCCCTCTCGTGGCCACTCTGAATGTAACAGTCTGCCTATTCCATTGTAAAGGAATCTGCCGGAGCCTGCTGGGTGAAGCTGGCTGTATAACTGAGTTTCAAATAGATTTTTAAAGACCAAAACTATTTTCATTTAAGGTAAGCTCCTCATGAGAGTGGAAACCGTCACCCACTAGCCTTGGCATAAGGATTCTACACTCCCTGGGCCGCTCTGGTGGGCTGAAACCGGCTACATCTACACTTGTGTATTTCCTGCAGTTGTTCAGCCCACCTATAAACTAGAGCACATCTGGACGCTCCTTGACGTGGGGTAGAGAATCTGTTCTCCAAATGTGGCCAAATGGTGCATAAACTCACCTTTCCATTTTTATGGGCTTTCCTTATATTCTTGATTGGCCATAAATAAAGCGAATTCTCAAAGCCAAGTTTGCGTCTCTGACAAAGCCCTGCTGGCAACAGCTGGCTTCACCCTGTAGGATAACTGGGTCCAACCTGAATATGGATGTTTTTCTATGCTGCCAAGTGCTGAAGACGAAATTCATGTTAAGAGGGTAAAGAGAAAGTCCTGAACCCTAGCTCTACCACAAGGTACACAGAACCCAAGGACCTGTGACAACAGCTGGGCTCTGGCCATTCCCCAAATGCTAGGGCAGGTGCTTCTCACCAGTAGGAAAGGGTGCTGCAGCGCCCTTGGCGTTTGGGAACAGTCCCTAGCTGATCAGAGAACATATTCAAATGAAACCACCGAAGATTTCCAACACTGGAGCATGGCATGGGGTAATAAATATTAATACCTAGGTTTAAGAAAGTAAGTCCAACATGTTTTCTTCAGTGCCTTTAATTACTGATCCTTTTTTATACATTAGTGTGTATCTGTGATACGGAATGAATACATTTATCATGGAATTATTGATGCTTTGAATCAGAGGTGTATTTCACTGTTTCATGTACATCATTTTTCTTAAACTTAAGTTTATCCTTTTGTTCTCAAGCATGATGTCATATTTGATTTCTTTTCTCTTTTCCATTTAAGGATTCAGTGGTTTAATTCTCAACACTTCTTTGAAAGGAATCTCATACATCTTCAAATCATGTACATAGGTATTAAACTAGAGTACCTTCTCTTCTGAAATGCGCTTTTTTTACTGCCACGTTATCTTCTCGCAGATGACCTGATTTAGGCAGCAGCATTAGGAGCTATGTAGATTTAGTGCAGTTGAAGGCTGAGGTCACATTTGAGAGTGTTCACATTTAAAAAGCTGTGGAGGGCAGTCGAAGAGGGGGAATTTGGGCTCTGGCTGAAGCTGGTCCATACTTCCACTTGGAACAGAATATCAGAAATATGCAAAACCCCTGTCCTCTTTCCTTTGCAATCCCATTTTGGGGCAAAAAAGAAAAACAGTGCACGTGTATGCTTTGAATGGAAGAAGCTGATTACACAGTGAGCTTTCTGAATGCCCTGTGTTAGAACGTAAAAAGCCCAGGAAGGTCCCTCTAAGAAATAGTTTTGCCTTCTGTTGGATCAATAATAACAGGACTGCCTGACAAGGCAGGGACAGGAGCAGGAAGCATCCCGTTTCCCCCAGGGCCCGCCGTCCACCCTCCACCCCACAGTCCTGCCACTCTGGGGCAGCTGGGGCCAGGAGGGCGAGCACGGTATCACCAGGGACCAGGCACCTCCAACAGCCAACGGGTGACCTAAAGCTGGTACTCACTCTTCACGGAACACCACTGGAAAAATAATTCAATTCATAAAACAAAACTTCTTTGATTATAATAAAAGAGATTTCTCTATGCAAATGGCTTCAAAACATGCAGCGGGGAGAGACCCACATTTTCCAGGAACTCCAGTACAGGTCCAACGTTATTTTGTAAGCAAGCAAGAAAACCAACCAGCATAAGACAGAAAAGTGACCAACACTCTGGGAGATGCCCATGAGAAGTTAAGCCCTTGCGGTATGCATGAGCCGGCCTGAGAAACCACGCCTGAGGTTCAAGTCCCACGGTGCTTCACCTAGAAAGCGGAGGGGAGAGGAGGAATTCACTCATTAAAATGAACTGGCCGATCTGTAGTTAACTCACTCTAGGGAAGGGCAAGAGAGACTCGTGAGCCTAAAGCTGAAGATTTTGAGTCAGTTTTCACCAGTGTAGCATGGTGAAGAATTGCCTGAGTTTGATAAAATGCAGGTTCCCCAGTTCTGGTTTTAGCAGGTCTGGGAGGAGCGTAGGAATCCTCATTTTAGAAAGCGCCTCTCCTCTCCAGCTCTCATTCGGACATTTTACTAAGCATGGCTGGAACACAGCAAGAGATAGGCCAGTCACCATCACAACGGCCGTTATCTATTAAAGATCATTTCTGAAGGTTCAAGGGACAGAAACAATTGAGAGCATTAAAGCACAAGAGCAATGGTGCTGGCCCAGCTGGGAATGACCCTGTCCCGCCTTCCTGTTGCAGCCTTAGCCACCGCGGGTCAGGAGAGCCATCTCCAGGCAAAGCAGACCTGACAAGTTTGGGGTCCATGAGTTTTCACTGCCTGTCTTGGCTAGGAAAGACTATCACATGCACCAGAGGCGATAAAAGGAGGCCTTGAGGCACACTCCACGCTCATATAACGGGAAGCAGCGCTGACGCAAGGCGGGGCACACTGAGACAAACTTGCCCAGGGCTCTTGACTCAAGTCGCCTAAGGAGCCACATTCAGTGAGGCCTCAGATTAGCCTAGCAAGCGGTGCAGGTGTTGACACTTTCTTCAGACTCAGTCTGAGCGATGTGGACGTCAGACATTGGGGGCCTCACGGTATCTGGAGAAATAATGTCTTCCAAAAGGGATCTGGGCAAGCAAAGGTCACTGTAAGACAGGGCAGCTGCAGAACGCCTGAGGCCCTTGTGAGTGGCTCCCCACGGACACACAGGCCCTGACCCTCACAGACATTCTGGAACACTCCCAAGACTATAACAGTTCTGGTGGCAAACAGCGGGGCTCTGAAATGGGCACCAGGTCTGATTCTCAGGAAAAAATGCCATCATGGTCATTGTCTCTCTCTTTTTTTACGCTGCGTCCTGTCAGATATCACCCACCGCTAATAAGCTGGTCACTGCCTAGGAGAGGACACTGCTGTAGCTTTGGTCCCCCTCTCGGAACAAGGAGAAAATCTTATTTCATCTCTGAGCTGCAGGAAAGGGCTTACTTATCTGCATAACCGTGCAAACTTGTAAGATGTCTATTTTATTTACTTATTCAGTGTAGACACTTAAAGGAAAACACACTTTTGTTGTTAAAGCAAGCACTGCCCTTGGGATACTACTTACACAAAGATAACTGCATTCCAGAGACTGTGATGGTCTACACAGTGGGATGTTTTGCCAGCCCAGATGAGATCAGAGCTCTGGGTCTCCTCTCCCGCACCCACAGCAGCAGGATAAATACCAGGACTGTTGGAGACTGACTCAACGAGTTTTTGTTTCAGACAATCAGCCTGAAAATCAGCCAGTGCTTCCTAAATACCTGCCCTATGCCACATCCTGTCCACTGTCCTGACTGGAATTTAAAGACAAAAATTTTAAAACCCTGGGCTTTGCTGTCAAGAATTTACCACCATAATGGGAAGTCAATACTTCAACTGGACTGTTCCACAACAGATAAATCAATGTAAGAATGTAAGCCCCCTGTGGGGAGACTCTGGCCAAAGGGGTTACTGAAGTGAATGTGAAAAGGAAGGGACCTTGGGAATAGCAGCCCCTAGGCTCCTGGAATGCATGCTTAAGTTTAGAGCAGATCTGCAGGACGATCTTCAGCAGAATTTAAAGTGAGTTATTCTCAGAGATGTCTGCTTTGGCCAGTGTGCTCCTCAGCCGCAGTAAGCTTGCTTAATTACATCGACATGTGTCATGTACCTAACCACCCCATTCCTTCTCTGTCCCATGACCAAAACGCCTATACAAGTGTTGCAAATGTTTTTCTTTTACCTCTTTGTGCTCCGTCCTTGAGTTACCAATAAATAGCCAAGAGGCCTCATCTCAGGGCTGTTTCTCTGAAGCTTCCTCTTTCAGAGAACCAGTCACTTTCAGCTTCTCTCTCAGTGACTGAATAACTCTCGCCTCTGCGTAGTCTTTCACCTTCTGTACCACCTCAGTCACATACTGCATCAGCCCCAACTAAGCCGCTGCATACAATCCTGGCTTAGTATCGTCACTCCAATCTCCCTGTCCGTCATTACCACAGAAAGTACACCACAAACACACGGGGTGGGGGCTGCCAGCTGCCAGGAGGCATAGGGGCATACAGCAGAGGGGCCTATGCTGGCCTATGCCCAGCAAAGGGACATACAGAGATCCAGGGCTGGAGTCCTGGCATGGCCACCTCCAGGCTGTGAGGCTGTAAGCACGTTCCTTAGCTCTGCATCAGCATTCCATTTTACAGAAAACAGTACCATATCGAGGGTGTGGTGACAACTCAGAAGTTAATGTGTGTTACGCAGCCAGTGCAAACCTGGCCAGTGCCACAAGCTCAGCAAACATGAGCTGCTATTGTTATTATTCTTACTATTATTGCTATTGTTATCACTTCCCATCAGATCTGTGGGTGCCACCCATGCCAGGATCCCAAGTCACCTGGGAAGAGGACCAGTCCTTTGTATTCCTTCCTGGGAACCCACAGCCCTCTCCGCGGGATCTGACTGCCCCTTCTTCCTGTCGCTTCCCACCCTCAGATACTTCTCCCTTCTGTCAAGGCCTCGGGGGTGGTCACCTCCTCCCCTTCAAGCACCCATGTCCTGTGGGGTAAGTCACACTCCCCCCCCACTGTTGTTCAGTCCTCTGGGATGATGGGGACAGGTCACTCACTCAGATTGATATGGAACATTCACAGTCTAGAGCACCAGGTCTGATTCTCAGGAAAAAATGCCATCATGGTCATTGTCTCTCTCTTTTTTTTTTCTTTTGAGACAAGGTCTTGCTATGCAGTTCAGGCTGGCCTTGAGCTCACTTCGTAGCCCAGGCTGGCCTTGAACTCACAACAATCCTCCTGCCTCAGCCTCCCAAGTGCTGGGATGCCTGGCCTACTGTCTCTCTTTCCGGCCCCCTTACCCATTGAAAAGGAACTGTCTTGGGTTGCACATAAAATATATAATATAGTTAATGTATATAAGTAACAAAACCTCCTTTTTCATATTTGTTATTATAACCAGGAAAGAAAAAAAGGTGGGCTGCAGATGGGACATGCCTGCAGGTGGCCTGGGGCACTAGGATGTCTGTGACTTCCCCCCACAGAAATGCAGAAATCACTGATACTTTCAAATCATGTTACTAGTATTGTAGGTGTCTCAAAATTTTATCTTCGGTCTTGCCTACTTTGAAAGGAAAGTTATAGAATCATCGCTAGACCTTATATTATATAATATGAGTTTTAAAAGCTTACATATTACTATACCACATATTTAAAAATATTTTTATAAATTTCAATGCCATTGGCTTTTCTGGTAATCTCACATATTTTGTGCATTGAACATGTTACTTCAAGAAGGGGTCACAGGCTTTCCAGCCTGCCACAGAGGTCCCTGATGAAGGGGTCACCTCCAGCCTGCCCTCTTGTTTTAGAAGGCTGAGGACCACTGATAAGGGTGCACTATTAGACAGGTGAAAGATGCAGAACTACTTACTGAACTGTGACATTATAATATTCTTCAGGTGTCACGATTTTGGCTCCACCAAAGTAGTCCAAAACCCAGATATTGGTTATATTCAACTTCGCGAAGAACCAGTTATGGCTGGAAGGCCATGTTTTCATCTCGGGGTGACGAGTGAATAATGACTGTTTTGCCAAGTCCGTTTCTGTTTCATTCACCTAAGAGACAAATGTGGAATACACGTTCTAACAGCAGTGACACTGTTTTCTCATTGGTTAAGAATGTGTGGTTCTGGCACTCAACAAATAGTCCCGGGTTGATTTTGTAAATCTTGATCGTACACGTAAGGAGTCAGGAGCAAATAAAGGAAGGGTGAAGCATACCGAGAACCATAATGATCTCAAATGGTGGCGGTAACAGATACACTGAGGAAGGAACCATCCTAAGCACTGGTTCTCATTGCTAAGCAGTAACTCTGAGCGACTCAACTAACCAGAACACAGTTTCATCATGAAGTGTTACGGGTGCCTGAGACATGTGGCACACATGTTACATGTGACACAATGTATGTGGTAAGCACGTAGATGAGTGTACATAAAGGGTAAAGATCTGTAGCAGTAGCACCATGGGACCTTTCTGCTGCCAGTGAAGGACAATCAGTGTCAGAGATCCACCTACTAAGAATTTCCAGACCACAAATCAAACTTGTCTGAGGTTTGGTGGTTTGGTTTTTTTTTGTTTGTTTGTTTGTGGTATTTTGAGACAGGGTTTCACAATGTAGTTCAGGCTGGCCTTCAACCCACTATGTAGTCCAGATTGGCCTTGAACTCGTGGTGATCCTCCTGCCTCAGCTTCCTGAGTGCTGGGACACCTTGTCCATTGTCCTTCCTGTGAGTTAATTTAACATCCTCACTCTGGCATTTGTCCCAAACTCTAAATCCCTTTCCGGTGTTTAGTAACAGACCCTCCTCTTGTTGGCCTCTCAGTATTTCCTCTGCTCTAAGCCTTTGTGAAAATACAGTGATAGGGACATGGGAAATGAGGCACCACATAAAGCATAACGGAGGAATAAGCTTCAGCCGAGCAGATGTTCCTTAGCAAGCATAATTTTATAAGGGAGCTTCATACTTGCTACACGTTTGGCTTCAGAAAATAGTTTATGTTCCTCATAAACACCCTACTGAACACCTTCATGACAGCAACTGATTAAACCTTTAGTTTTCATGGAATTAGTTTACATATTGGAACACATCCTAACTGGGCATCTCGATCACAAATCAGCTGTACTACTTGCTCCATAGATTTCTTCTTTCATTGTTCATACGATGATGCTCTCCTAAAGCCATCGCTCTTCTCAAGGTTCACTACTTACCTTGGTCAGCGTTCCCGAAAGCATTATGTGAACACACAGGGGACTCTGGGGATCAAATACATGTTTCTTACAGAAGTCAGTCTGTGCCAAAGACATGGTCAGTGAGGCATGTGGATTCGCCTGTAGAGAGAGAATGAAGACCCTCTCATGTGAAATACAATGTGATGGTTTGTGTCTGCATATCCCCCCAAATCCTCATGCAGTCATGGGGCAGGCTTCTAGATTATTTGATTGATCCATAGTCCAATGCTGGGATTATGGGCGTGACTGCTACACCCAGCCTGGGGCAGATAGTTTGCATACAATGTAAGGGAGGGAAAGAGGCTGTTTGTCAACACTCCCCCCTTTTGCTCTTGTCACTTTTGCTATCTTCCACCCGCCATAAACGGTTGCCCTGTGCCATGTGCCACTCTGCCTTGGAGCCAGCCAAGTATGGACTGAAACCCCAACAAACCGTGAGCTAAATAAACCTTTCCTTCCTTAATTTTGGGCGTCAGGTATTTTGTCTCAGCAACGAGAGAAAAGTAACCAAGACACACAGTTTCCAGACAGGTAATACATTTTTTGAGTTGCATACACAGTGGGCCTAGAGCTGGCACACTGTTCCATGAAACAAGGAACTATAACCCACCACCTTCCACTCGGGGAAAATATCACTTGGCTAAGATGGATCCTGACCCTCTCAGGAGATTTCATGTTTAAAATTAACTGACTCCATAAGAACTATTTTAAAACATTTTTTTTCAGAAACTCAAAATCTGTTCCACACCCTTCAGAGGAATTCTAATTACAATACCACTCAAATTTGAGGCTGGTGATAGACTTCACTGAATTAGCCAAACTAGTGTTAACTTCTACTATGAAACAAGTGTATAAAAACGCCACAGTTGCGCTCTACCAGCTCATTATGCAACTTGAGCAACAAAATAGCTGAATCATGCTGCCTCGTTATCTCCTGGTAGCAGGAACTGTCTGTCCTGTGATGTCAAAACTGAAGAAGTTGCTTGTTCTTGCTGCAAAAAACAAAAGCCTCTATATCTCAGACTCAAAATGTGAGGCAAACAAAATTCTTTCCTACTCAGCAATCAGATCCATGAAGGCACTGCTGACAGAATACTGTACATTTCAAACACTGTATTTCAGACTACTTAGTTCTTTAAACCCTAAGTGTCTTTGTGGAGATTTTTGTTTTTGCCATTTCACGGTGACCCACCAAACGCAGTGAGTCCTGAAGCAATCTCCCTGAAGTCACTTAGCCAAAATACCTACTATCCCCAAGCTATTCCTCAAGGTACTACAGGAAACCAAGAAAAAGAGGCTTTCAAGGAAGGCCTCTTCCCAACCCTTTTGAGAAGTCAGAGATAATCAAAACCTAGATAATGCAAAAGAAAAATACAGAAGAGGTTAAAAAGCAGAGGTGAGCAGTGAAGTGTAGTCAACATAGCCTGAAGGGACCCAGCAACTATGGGGGTGTGTCTTATAGTTAAAATTAGGACTTAGGTGGGGAACATATTACAGGTGGAGGGAATGGGTGATGGCAAAAAGCAGCACTGGGAAGGTGGGAGACATAAAGGATGACAGTGAGGAACTCAGCTTGCTGGAAAGAGGGCCAAAGCGGCGGTGGGGAGGGGGCATGGCTCCAATCCAAGCTAAGGGAGTCGAGGCAGTATTCTGCAGGTCAGCATCAGGCAGTACTTTCCCAGACCCACCCCTAAGGAGCTTGGGTGCCAGTCCCTAACCATCTGCATTTTAAACACCCCGAGATCCTTTTAGGAGGGGCAGTAACTGGGATGGAACCCAAGGCCTTTGCACTGAGCTACATCTCCAGTCCTCTTTTTGAGACAGGGTCTCGCTAAGTTGCTAAATTGCCCAGTTAAGGCCCAAATTTGCAATCCTCCTGTCTCAGCCTCCCAGAATGCTGGGATTACATGCGCACATCACCACGCCTAGCTCCTAAGTGATTCTTAAGCAGCAAGGAGAAGTACACAGAAGTTTCTGGGCAGTTAACATTGCTGTGAGAAGTATTTTGTTAATGTAAGTCTGGTGGGCAGATGGACAGGGCAGAAGATTTAAGTACTTTCAGGCTAGTGGTGATAAGGACTTAGCCTAAGGATAGGATGGTGGAGATAGGGAAGGGAGAGGGACAGAAACAAACAACATGGAAGAAAAACTGGCAGATTTGGGAATTGAGGGATTCTGGAGAGGCAGTGGGAACACCAGTGTTTGCTGAGAAAATTCCATTAACAGAAATGGAAGAGCTCAAGGGAAGCTGGTTTCAGTAGGAAAAATTGGATTTTAAAATGCTGAATTTGAGGTAACAGTAAATTAATGAAGTAAAACCAAGGCACACAGAGTTAGAAATATAGAACTGAAGAAATGAAGCCACAAAAGTCTATATAACCTTCCAAAGCGCAACAGAACAGCAGAGGGGTTAGAAATGGCCTCTGGGAGATACTGTTAGTGAATCGGAAAAAAGAATAATCATGAGTGGGAAGAGGGTCAGATTGCAAGAAAAGAGTGCCAAGAAAAAGGGAGGCCAGTAGCTTGGGTAGTTGGTGCACACAATCAGACGCCAGGATTTCTGACTCCTGGGCCCTGCAGCTCAAATTGGTACCATTACCACCCAAACCAGCGACACCTCTGTGTAAGCATTTACTGTACACAAACATCACAGGGGAAAAAAATACAAAATGAACATCTGGGTGGCAAGGCCATTTGAACCTGTGAGTTACGGGGGACGGGCATCTGACACAGGAGAAGCGGTCCCAACCAGGGTCTCTGTGTCCTTTCCAAACTGTTCATCCCGCTGAGGCCAGGAGACAGAAGGAAGCGAGGCAGACAGGCCAGAGGTCCAAAGTACCGTAAACTGGAGGCCAGAGCTGAGTCCACTAAAATGCAAAGCACCCAGAGAGCTGAGTAAAACCAGAAAGAGCCTTGGAGGGTAAAATGCCAACAAGACACCAGGCACCAAAGGCCCAGCAGCAAAAATCAGTCTACACCAAAACGTACAAAAGCCCCCAAGTCTCTGTTTTTTCTGCCTTGCAGATGCCCCACATTCTAGGGGTGGGTGCTTTTCTTTTTATTCTTTCTAATAAACGCGCATTCGGTCATTCCTCACTGCTTAATGTTTTGTGGGTTTCAATCTTTGTTGCCTCAAAACAAGGACCCAGCGTGGGCAGGCACTGATTACACCACCCCTGCCTCCCAAGGAGAAGACCCTCCTGAATCCTGGTGGCCCAAAGGGGGAGAAGGCGGGAGCAGAAACAATGTTCTGCTGACAATAAGATCAGACAAATTCTGATTGAGTCTTTCACTGCCATCCTGGAAACCTGAAACCCCAGGGAGATGCCTCACCATTGTCTGTTTCTAGAGACCTCAGCTACCTGGGCTGGTCACATGACTCCTGGGCCTCTGAGTCACACTTCCTCCTTTCTTCAAAGGGGATGATGTCAGCAACTCCCCAGTCACCTCACGAATTTAAATGTGAACATGGCAGTGATGCTCGTTCTCTCCCCTTCTGGGGGGGAGGCTGTCTTAGAATAAAATGTGTTTTTAAGCCAGGTACGGTGGTATGCACCTGTAATTCCAATATGCTGGGAGGCTGAGGCAGGAAGACTACAAGTTTGTGCCCAGCCTGGATAACTTAGTGAGACATCTCAAAATGAAAAATAAAAAAGGACTGGGATGTAGATCAGTGCAAAGGTCCTAGGTTCAATCCCCACTCCTACCCTTCCCCAAAGTTTTAAATAAAATGCCTTGGTATCATATTGTAACAGTCTTCCCAAGTACTGTGATCTACAGCCATGCCTAGAGTAGCATGGGCTGAGGCTAAGAAAATAATGAACTGGGCTGTGTGTGCCTCAGCTGAAGGGCCAGCTGCTTCTGCTTTTGCTCAAAAAAATCTAGGCACCCAGCTTCATTCCATCTTCTCTTTTTCAAAAGAAGGTAGAAATTTAAACTTTTAAAAGTAGAATCTTCCTGGGCGTGGTGGCACACACCTGTAATCCCAGCACTCAGCAGGCTGAGGCAGGAGGATCGTTGTGAGTTCGAGACCAGTTTGGGCTACAGTGAGCTCAAGGCCAGCCTGAACTGTATAGCCAGACCCTGTCTCAAAAAGACAAAAAAAATGAAAATGAAAATGAAAAAAAAAAGTAAAATCTCAATTTGAAAAGACTGGCACCAAATTCAAATTAGCTAGAATTCTTCATGGACCAAAGAAAAGTGGGCCATGGCCTCTGGTCTGAAAGCAGATGGATCCTACCTGAAGCCTGTATAAGCAGTTCTTCATCTGAAGCATGAGGTTAGTAATACCTCCTGCAGTTACTGAAGGCCAGCTTACCATCCAGCAGGTGCTTAATTAAACATCGGCTTCCTTTCATCTCCCCTTTATCAATATCCTTTTCTGGTTAACCTAAGTCTGAGATTTTCCACAGAATCAGACTCAGTTCCCCTGCTCGGTGGCTGTGAGCCCACCGTTGGACAGCAGAGGTCCACCAGAGGTGCAAGCTCACCCTGCCCTGGAAGAAGGCGAAGGGTGGGGTGGGGACAGGTGGTGAGTCAGTCCTGCTCTCCCAGGGAGGCCACTGTGCATAGGAAGGCCTAAAGACTGCAGTAGGCATCCCAATCATCAGCAATGTTGTGCATTAGCTTCTTATGGCTGGCTGAGGGACCTTTTTTTTTCCTTAAGCCGGGGATTGAACCCAAGACCTCTGCATTGAGCTCTATCTCCTGTCCTTTTAAATTTATTTTTTTATCTTTTTATTTTTGAGACAGGGTCTCACTATGTTGCTAAATTGTCCAGGCTGAGTTAGAACTTGGGATCCTTCTGCCTCAGCCTACCAGAGAGCTAGGAATACAGGCATGTACCACCATGCCCCGCTGAAGGAAAATGCTTAATTCACAAGAGTTAACAAAGAGAAACCTCGAGGTCACTTATGCAAGGAGCTTAACGACCCACCAGTCCCTGTGCCCTGTAAAACTAAATATCAGAGCCCAGTTAGTGGAGACAACTTGCCCCAAGACGACTCGTGACAACTCTGGGCGAGGATCAGCAAAGCACTCACGCCCATTTCTTTGCACCGTGGCGGGAGCGGGTGGGTGGTGAGGTGGGCTGGGGGTGGAGGGCGGTTCCTGGCAGTCAGTTGCCCATCATCTGGGCTGCTGCAATGCCTGCCTGGCCCTCGAGAGGCACAAGGCACGTCGGTGGAACCGGGTTCGAATTCTCCTGTCCAGGAGCCCTGCAGTCTGGCGGGCAGCACCCTGGCGACAGGGCAGGGCCCCCTCACCCACCTCCAGGTTGCGGGCGGAGAGCTGCAAGGGGGACAGGTAGAAGTAGGGCACGCCGCTCCCTGCGCCCGGGGGCCCGTCGCTGAGCGAGAGCACGTCCGCGAAGGGCTGGCCGCGCACCGCCTCCAGCGCCGAGATGGTGGCCAGCGAGCCCCAGTCGCTGACGTGCGTCACGAAGCGGGCCACGCGCGCCGCGTCCTCGCGGGGAGGCAGCGGCGGCATCAGCGGGGGTTTCTCCCAGTCGCCGTGGTTCTGGCCGCCGTAGCTCCGCGCTGGCGACACCAGCAGCGATAAGAGCGCAGGCGCTAGCAGAGCCGCAAGCAGGGCGCTCGCACCAACGTGAGCTCGGCCGGCCATGGCGACGTCCCGCGCGCAGGTCCCGGGAGGCGCCACTTATGGGATCCAGTTAGCCAGGCCACGCCCTTGGCCACGCCCCCTGAGGCTACCAATCAGAGCCGAGAGGGCTGGCGAGGCGGGGCCTGCGCGCTCCGCCTCCTTGGGAGGGGAAATCTGTTTGTGCACCTTCTACCTACTGCACAGCCTCTAAAGATTGCGAGTTTGCCCGAAATGAAATGTTTCTTTTGTCTCCAGATGAGAAAAGGAAGACTGGGAGAAATTTAACAACTCGCCCAAGTCATATAGCTAAGGAATGACCGACTTCTTAACACCCGCGGCGCCCGCACCTTTGGGCATTGAATACAGCGTCCGAGGGCAGAGGCTCTGTCTGGCGCGCCGACTCTCATCAAAGAGCAGCCAGGGCTCCGCGAGAAAAGGACGCGATGACAGACTGCCTAGGACAGAGGCGCGAAGAGAGTTTTCAGGCCACTCTCAGGATCCCATGCATGAATTTGAACTCGCGGTGTGGGCTGTTAAAGCATCAGGTGTGAGGTCGGTGGTTTCAGGAGTTAGTCGGCCTCGCGGAAGGGGTGCTTCCTTTTCTGCCGTCTAAGGATGCCCCGTCATTCTGCTCTGGTAGATGAGCTCATACGAGTTGGCCCTCCTGCTTTGTCATTTCAAGCCTTGTTCATATCTTTTCAGAGAATCTTAATCTTCTTGACCTGGCCACAAATCCAATCATTGTGATAAAGGTTTTGTGGAGGTGCTGGTGTTTGTCAGCTTGAAAATCTGGCCCTCTGAAGACTAATCCTTTTGTTGAGACGTACTTTATGTCAACCTCTGTGGGCCAGTCACGTGGGCAGGTGTGCGCAGCAGGTGTGTGAGCTCAAGTCCCGCGTGTCCTAGTCTCAAACTCAGCCTCTGTATACTCGGCAACTTCCGGCCTGCTCAGCAGAAACTTGTGCCCTCTCAGATCCGTACTCTGTCTCAGTAGGAGTTTTCCCTCCCTCTGGTGGCCAAACGACGTCACACACACTGGTCTCCACATGGAGCTAAGGGGTGGAAACTACGCTCAAAGTTGGTTTTGCTTTTTAATCATTTAATTGGGGAGAATTTCAAGCCAGATGGAAAATTAAGTAGGCAAAATTTAAAAGAAAGAAAGTCAAACACATCATTTGCAAAAATATTACTACTACTACTAATAATAATACAGTTTGAGTGCTGAGCTATTATAATTATTTTGTCTTTAACCCATTAAGAAAAAGACACATGTAGTTTAACATTTGTAGGTCTAATCTCATGTATCCAAGTCACGAGTCTTTCAGACTCTTTTGGGGCCTTGGAGTTTACATGTAAAATAAAGGAGCAAGCGAGGTGTGGTGGCACACACCTGTAATCCCAGCACTTGGGAAGCTGAGGCAGCAGGATCGTTGTGAATTTGAGGCCAGCCTGGGCTACAAAGTGAGCTCAAGGCCAGCCTGAACTGCATAGCAAGAACCTGTCTCAAAAAAAAAAAAGAAAGAAAGAAAGAAAGAAAGAAAGAAAGACATAAGTGTATAAAAACACCACAGTTGCTCTCTACCAGCTCATTACGCAATTTGAGCAAGAAAATAGCTGAATCATGCTGCCTGGTTATCTCCTGAACTGCATAGCGAGATCCTCTCTCAAAAATAAAATAAAATAAAATGAGCTGTATTAATTATTAGATGATCTCTAATAGCCCCTTGTAGCTCTATATTTTTCCATTTAACATGCAAAATGTGGGCCTCTCATAGATTTCACAATGGGAATTACTTTACAAGAGGATGGAAACATAACTATGTTTATTGCTATAGCTCTTATTGTTGACATATGAAATAATAATACACTTTATTCTGGTCCTGTTATAAAAGTGGTGCCTAGAACTTGGTCTCCAGCCTGAGAGTCTGAGAATGAGGCCTACAAGCTCCCCCGCTCTGCCTGTCTCTCCTGCACTTACTGTTCCCTATATCAAAATGCTCTTCCCTCAGCTACTGGCATGAATTCATCTCTCTCACTCCGATGTTACCTTTAAAGTGCCCATTACACCACTTTTTCTAAAAAGCCTTCCCCAGTTACTTACCCTTAGACAGCCCTGTTTATTTCCTTCATAGCCATCACTAAACCCTAGCATGACTGCATGTAGTTAGTTGCTTGTTAATTGTCTCCACTGCTCCAGTGGAAGCTCCGGGAGGACAGGAATGTTGTCTGCCTTGTTCACCTCCACATCCCCAGTGCACAGAGTGGGCACTGAACAAATATTTGTTGAATGACTGCCTGACTTAATTCATAATAGCCAGTGGGAGCCTTTGCACACAGATCAGTTTAAAAACAACAGCAGGAAGTGAGGATGACTGGACTGAGATTCTTGAGTATAACGCCCAGGTGCTGTAGGTCCTAACTGGTGAATCTGTCTCACTGGGCTGGGCCACAAGTGGCTGAAGTAATCATTCCAGATGCTGCTGCTGCTGCTTGCCCTGACTTTCTGTTTCCTGTACCAATCCCCACCCTCGTGTGCCCACCAGGCAATAGTTGTCTTCTCCCCGGGTCCAGGTTTGGTCTTGTGGAAGAACCCACCTGCAAGCTGTCTCTTTCACATGGTGCTTCCTTGTTTATTTGTCTAGGAGCCACCAGCCAAAGTGCCTTCTGGGTCAGGAGCAGTGGCTTTGTCATCTCCATGACCCAGCACCAAGCACAATGCGGGGCATGTAGCAGGCACCTGTTGCGTGGTGTTGATAAAAAGAGTTGCATCAGAACAGTTGTACCAAACGCTGAGGGTAACCAGGCTGTCTGCAGTTCTGTAAGTGCTCAGGCTTTAAAATGAGAAACATTCTGCTTTGTGATATGCATGCTTTAAATAGGAGCCAGTGAAGTGCTGAGGAGAGCTAACTTTAAAGTCAGTCACTTAAGAACCAAGTGTAGTGATGCACACCTGTAATCCGAGCACCAGGGAGGCTGAGGTAAGAGGAGTGCTGCGAGCTTGAGGCCAGCCTGGGCTACATAAAGTGAATTTAAGGCTAGCCTGCACTACATAGTGAAACCCTGTCTCAAAGAAACAAACAAGCAAACAATAAATAAAGTTACTTAAGTTTGACCTTACACAGGATTATACTGAAGCTCAATTCTAGATCATTAAAAATGGGGAAAATAATAACTCATACCTTATTTGATTTTTGTGGGGATTAAGAGAGATAATGCATTTAAAATACCATAGCACTTAGGACATAGGAAGTATTCAATAATTGTTAGCAGTGTGTTAGTAATTGTTAATTTTTATTCCACTATTCTGGTCTCTCTTTCTCTTTTTTTTTTTCCAGCACTCAGACTGAATCCAGGGCCATTGCACTGAGCTACATCTCCAGCCATCACCATTTAAATTTTTTATTTCAAGACAGTGTTTCACTAAATCCTTAAGTTGCTCAGACTGGGGTAAAATTCACAATTCTGCTTCAGCCTCCCAGAGTGCTGGGACACCTGGCTTGTTCTTGTTCTCTATCCTGTAAATCTGTAGATTGCTTTATTTAATCTCTTTCTGAGCCTGAAGAATTTCCACTGCAACCCCTAAAAAGAAGAAGGAAAGTCTCCAGAAAGAGTACTGTTATACACACTAAAGAATTCCCCAGGTGGCCTGAGGGAGACATTTCACAGCTCGCCCTACTTCAAGGAGGGAAACGCATGTGCATGCTATTTTTCATGAAGCAGATGTCTGTTGCTCCACAGTTCTTCCCATTTCTGTCCACTTTAATCAGATGTTCCTAGAACTTAAAAGCTAATAATGAAAACCTGCCCTTTCTTTGCTTTTTTGTGTGCATTTACATTTAGCTAACGATTATTTTCCAGATGTTTGGGGAATAATTCTTGACACTTCTAAATCTAGAGGACTTGTTTGCTAAATGCACTGACAGTGCTCAGCATATAAAAAGTCGTACTACTATCTTTTGGATTGTATCTTTTAAATAAAAAATACATCAACTAGGCTTTAAAACAGGATTTAATTTAGTATTTCGGTATGTCCCATAATACTAAACAGGAGAAGAAAGTTATCTATGAATCAGAAGAAAATGGTTAAATTGGAATTGCCAACCCTTCACATAATCACCAGAATAATTTAAAAGCAGAAATGAAAGAGTGCCTATAACGAAATATACATGTTGCATTCCGGATGCCAAAATTTCTGCTTCTTATGCATAAAACCAGTGTGCATTGAGTGCCAATGAAGCCCTGGGCACGATGATAGGCGATGAGAAGCCGCATATTAAGAGAAATTGTCCTTTATCGTTAAGGAAAATGTCTGTCTCATTAACTCACAACGTATGTATTGCCATGTGATCGGTGCAATGTGGAAAACTATAAAAGAGCAAAGGAAGCTTGGGAGAAGAAGCTTAGGTCTGCCTTGAGTGGCTGTGAGGTGGGAGAGCGAGGGAGGAAGGGGCGGGAGAGGAGACAGAAGGTGCAGAGGCGACAGCACATGGGATGTCAGAAGAAGCACCCACAAACTGAAGAGCCCGGTGTGGAGCACAGATAGAGGGAGATAAGCACATTCATGGCCGGGGGAACTGTGTGGTATCCTATCGTCCTGAGGAGAGATTCTGACCTTGGGAAGCCGCAGAAAATGCTTACATAAGAAAACAGAGCTACAGAATAGACTCAGAAAAGGAAGTACAAATTTTGGAGAAGTTGAGGCAAAACTGTCTTATGTACTCACTATATGAGTAGCACACTCAAGTGAATTAAGTAAGTAACTACCAGAATGAAAGAAGAGCATTCCATGCAGTGCTATTCAGCTGTAAAGAAAGATAAACTTGAGGCTTTTACAGGTAAATGGACGCAGCTAGAGACCATACTCATAAGTGAAATAAATCAGACTCGCATGCGTAAACATCGTATTGGACACAAGATAGCTACGATGACTGTACTACTAATTTCTATTGGTTTGTTGAAAGGAACAGTTAATGCTTAATTGTTTGATCAATTTTTTGTTTGTTTGTTTTTTTCCAGTACCAGGAATCGAACTCATGACATCGCCCTTGCCAGGCAGGC